GCTGCTGGTCGTTGATGTATGTTACTGTGCTGTTGGTCGTTGGCGTATGCTACTATATTTCTGCGTTGGTCGTAGGTGTATATTACTTTTGTACTGTTTCGTGGGATCAGATACCTTGCCCATATACTATATGAATGGGACCATGATGAAAGCGGAAAGGCTAGGCAGTGTCTAGTTCGTTGTACTGTTCATGCTGTTTCTGATCTCCGCTTCCTTGTCGCTTTTTGGTAAAGCATGCCCAGTTTTGATTATGGATTTGAATATAGCTTTTTCCATGGGTTTAAATTACACTTTCAGCAGGATTCCCGGAATAAGTTCATAGAGGATCGAATTGGTAATGTGAATGGCAGGGAATGACATTTTCGAAGGAGTCAGTGAGTGCACAGTCGACTATTCAGCAATCAATTTTTGTGCGATTATGGTTACACCAAAGTTACGGTGTTTCTATCTAGGTTTGTATGGTTAACCATTTTATCCCCCTCTTTTACTGTGCTCAAGATGAAATGTAATGGGAGTTTTACGTCCTACTTTCTGCAGCTTATATGCTGTAACGGGTATTATCAGGTGTTGAATTGAAGCTTAACAGTTCAAATAATGACCTACACAGGATATTCAGTTAAAAAAACTAAATTTGATTCAAAACAAAAAAAACTTGAATGCCAATCGTGAGAAATAGCGGTTTTGAACACGCTGATGCTTCAAAAAACCTAATTATTAATTTGCGACTTTTTATTGAACCCTGTGATGCCCAGAATATTGCCATTGTGTTTCTTAAGATATTGTTCGGTTAATTTTATGTGTTATCATTTCAGCTCCGTTACTGGCAGTGCTCTGAAGAGGATTAAGAAGAAAATAAAACTGAACAAATTTATTTTAGTTCTTCCTTCTGAAATTGAAGAGTAGCAATAACTGGTCGTTATAGGGTGTTCCTCTATATGATGGGTTTTGGGTAACAAGTAAAGTATCAGTCCACCCTCCAATCCAGTCCTATATCTGCATGAAAATAGTCCATATATCAACTTTTCTTTAGCGAAAAGCACCGAAATCTCGTAATATGAGCGGAATTGAGTTTGGAATGTCTTTGGTAGGAAAATATCTATCCTGTTTGGCATTTTTTGTCCAGAAAATCACCGTGTGTGGGCGTCTAAGCTGCCAACTAAGCTAGAAATAGTAACTTACCAATAGACACACGTTGACGGATCATTATGGTAATCGTGAATGGTACAATTGTAGAAGATCAACTTGCTGAACATGACAAGACTACCCTTGTCTATTCGCTGTTTTATCTAAGGAATTCCAAAACAGCGAACGGAGGCCATTTCATCTGTTCTTCGGTTGTTTTTGTTGACGTACGGAATTGGCTGAGGATTTTCTAGAGATCACTCGTCTGCGGCGAAAAAAGAATGTTACTCAACTGACAATCTCTTGAGGCAGGCAGCTCAGCTCGTTCCTCTGGTCTATGGCAGGCTTAACTCCCTTGTTGATTGTCGATTCAAGCTTAGAAGTAATAATAAATACTTCATGATGAGGTTGATCTTGTTTCCATTCCATTTTTTTTAACCCCACCTCTCTATGTGGACTTTTACATTCTTAGAGGCAATGTATTTCCCATCGTTTATAATGTATCGAAATTTCATTTTAGTATAAATCTCACAAAACCATAAAATTATTAAAATAGTTTACGAAATACGTGCAAAGTGTATTAGCTAGTTATTAGCGTTGTAGCCTCCTTGGTTACATATTAGTGTCAATGGGCACTTTTTTTGCAGGCAGTTTCTTTGTGTCAGTAATGCCCAGTCGTACTATCATTATTGATCTATATTCACTATTTGACCGATTACACGAAAGATATCCTAGATAAGATTAGCATGATTCGTCAAAACGTCCTGACTTTCTAACAGACATGGCAGGCCTAAAAACATTTCTCTTTTAATCTTTGTCATCGCCACTCGGACTAAAGGTAAAGTCATATTAATTATTTACAGAGTATCCCTACGATTTTCAGTTCACTTGATTTTGCCAATGTACAAGACTCTTAGCATATTTACTGGTCATCAAAATGTTTGTATAGCTGGATTTGTGTGACGGGTAAACGTTTATCCGTGTCATTAATCTTATATGTTATGACATAGAATGTCCGTGTTTTTCATATGGTATATATGGTGACTGACATCTTATATTTCTAGTGCTCAACAACAAATTAGCGTTTTTAGAAAACGAATAGGTGTAGAAAATTGAGCCTCAAGAAGTATCCACATCTGTTGCCTAAAAACGAGAAACAGCTCAATTACTTGAGCCTGTTACAAAATCTAATTTCTACTATCGTAAGATCCCCATAGCTCATGGAAGTATTGACAACCTTCCTTTATTTATTCGTTTGTTCACAACACAAATAATTTATTCATTGCAGTCGATGCCTTCTGTTTTCGAACATATGGAACGTGGATGTCGTTACCATTACCATACCAGCGAGTCCCAAGTTAAGCAAGGGTTTCAAGCTCTGAAAAATGCTGGCATTACGAGAGTATATGTAAACATATGGGCTGATGGATATATATATATGCCAAAATTTCTACAGCAACAGCAAATGGAGCAGTATTCATTAAAGACACATTGCAGTGGGCAGTAAATGCAGGAAGACTATACGGTTTAGAGGTGTTTTCGTGGTTTGAATATGGTACTCAAGCTCATTTTGGAACTTCTCCTACAACTAGATTTGCTTTTAAAAACTGGAAATGGTGGGTACACGTCGCATGCTGGTGGAAATTATGTATATTGTGACGCAACTAACGCTGCCGTTCGAAAATTTTACGCAGACATGACGGCAGATCTGGTCAGAAACTACACAATAAATGGTATTCAATATGATGATCATATGAGTTTACCAAGTGGATTTGCCCACGTTGACGCGCTTTCTCACTCACAACATTATAGAGTAATGGAGGACTTTATGACACAAATTAAAAATAGTGTAAAAGCTGCAAGAAGAAATGCAATCGTATCCTACTCGCCGTCTACTATTGAATTTTCACAATCTCACCATAATGTGGACTGGGAAAATTATCTACAGCATGGCGTCGTGGATGAGATAGTGCCACAGTATTACCGTTCATCGTCCAACGACTACAAAATCATCATCAACCGAGATATTCCACGACTTCATGGGCACCAAACGTCATTGATCGGGGGAATTCGACTCTCAGGATCAGGGCCACGGACACCAGCTGGAGAGGTTCAGAAGATGATTGACTTATCGTATGCTAGTAAGTTTAAAGGAGTATCTTTGGTGATGATATTATTACCCGTGTATATAAACCACCTAAACTTAACAAATGTTGATGTTGTATTATTACATATATCGTAAACTTCAATAAAAGTAATTTGAATAAGTAACAATTTTTTTAAAGGAGTATCTTTCTGGTTTGGTGATGATATTATTACTGGTGTATATAAACCACCTAAACTATTAACAAATGTTGATGTTGTATTATAACATGTATATGGCATATTCAATAAAGATATTAGAATAAGCAACAATTTTACCTGTCGCATCAAAATATGGAGTTTTGACTGATTTTATATTAAGCCGAAACAAAGACATGAAATTAGAATTGTTTAAAGTCATTGTGACAGGATATAAGTACCCATTTAAACAATGTCATTTTGCATAGATACATAGTAAGTTCCAATGCTTGATGATGACATTTCAGATAAAGCACTTGTATGAAAAATTCGAACAGGTATTTTTATGAATAGGTTATTTGAGGTATGCATCATCATGCACAATATTTAAGCAAAGTATAAGTATCAGTCTCAGATTTTTCTTTTGTTGCAGTTACATCGACATGTCCAGTTCTCAATATGTTAACTTCCGTATCTAAAAGTGCGAAAAATGTTAATGTTAGTGGAACTGCATAGTCAACACGGTTTTGATTTACAACCCACTTCACTTACCTGATTACCTATAACACCCGTGTTACAAGGGTAAAGTTGTACAGACGACCCTTATAATCTGTCCACACAAAAACCTGGTTTATCCAAGCTAAAAATCTGAAATTATGAATTTGTATACAATTTGTTTGGCAAAGACCTAACAATAATGCATTCAACGGTCTTTCATGGTGTCAAGTTTAGGTCGCAGATTCCGACCACTTGGTTCGACGACCATATTCGACTTCTGCTTCAAAGTAGATCACAAGCATATGATGGAACGGTTTTCGTCGTTGGTTTACATATATTCTACCAGATGTCATCCGTTGCAAGAATTCTAGATTATCTCTCCCTGAATCATGAAGATTGGGATTGATTTTTATTAACCGCGAGTTTTATACATGTAATAGCATTACCTGACCAACAAGTAGAGCATCTACAGGTGTCCACAGGGATATTGAAAGTACATTTCTATAATACCAGTCAAAGTTTTTACATTGCAGTTTCTTTATCTGTTCTACCCTATCTCGTACATCTAGATCTGACTGCAATATAATATTATTACCTTCTTTTTCAGTCATTGTTGTTGTTAGTCTTCCAGTTTACAAGGAACTAGAATTTGTGTGTCTGCACTCATCCCAAAGAGATAGCAAGTTTGTGATGAAATCTAGTTCCTTGTAAACTGGAGGATTAACAACAAGTTGAAACCAAATTTCTAGAGACTTATACCTTCGTATCGTATTTGAGCAGTACTTTTGGATCCAGTTTGTAAATCTATATTTTATTTACCATGCATTTCGTTCGTCCGGTTTCATGCAAACATACAATTCGGAAGATAGATTGACAGACCAGGCAACCTAGTCAGATATAGCTTTCAGGAATCATGATTGAATCAAATTGTTCAAATGTATATCAAGATACTGTGGCAGCAGTCGGAAATATTTGGGACAAACCACTTATTTTACTTTCATTACTTTACAGATGTAATAAAAACAAATCATGTTTTAATGCTCTTATTTATTGTTTAAAATCTC